TGATCCGGAACCGAACTTACTGGTTCCCAATTTTTAGGAACCTGTTAAACAAGTTTAGGTTCCTGTTTCGGTTCCTATTTTTGGGAACTTGTTGAAACAGAAAAAAAAAGGTTTAAACAAAAGGAAAAGAATGTTTTAAAAACAAGAAAAACATGAAGAGGACAAGTGTCTTTCCAACTTCATGTTTTAAAATACTACCTCTGTTAATAGTTATTTGCAACAAAGGGGGGTAGCACGGACTCCAAAACCCAACCACGAACTCAACAAACCACCACCAAAACCACTAAAACCCAACCACGATCACATCCAAAACCAACGAAACCCAACCCCGAACCCAACAAACCACCCACGAACCTAGCTTACCACTACAAAACCCAATTAAATCGAAACCACCACGATTTGAATTACTTCCAATTTAGCAACCACCACGAAAACCACCCACGCCACCCATACGAAATCAAACCCACGACTGCCTATGAAACCAGACCCATCCACCACGAAGACTTATCCCCATGAAAGTCACGCCACCCCCACAAACCAGATCTGAAACCCCTAAAACCACTCAACGAACTTGGACGACGAACACTAACGCAGGGATAAACCTAGGTTATTGGTATCTAAGTTCTTCGATCAAAATAAAATTTGTAAAACCAAACCCAACCCTAGGTATTGGGCCAAGTCCAGGTCGAACTCAAGGGAAGACAGTATTTGTAAGGTCTAAGCTAAGCTATTCCAAAATCTTAAAACGATGGGTTGGTCTATGGTATCGAAATCAAATCAATCAAACAAATGAAAATAAATTGTCAAAACATTAAGGACTTAAGGATCCACATGCACCAATGCTAAACTTGCTAATTTGACGGGAACTTGATCAATTAAGCAATGCGAGGGAAAGCGATATTTGCAATCAATATCACTCAAAGAGCTAATTCCTAGGGTTAAGCTGGATGTCTCTACAAATGATTTTAAGGGAAAATCATAAATCAATATCAATCGATAATAATAGCATTCAAATTAATTGTTCGTGTCATTGAAAACTATTATGTAATCTAGCATGATCATCCAGGTTAGCTACTCCTCTTCAAATCAAACACATGCACAAATTTCATCAACCAATTTAATCACATCAACAAATCAATCAAAAACCCCAAATTAGCTATAGATTATCACTAATACATGATTCACCACATCCCTAGCAAAGGAACTACTCACTACTCGTTGTAAAATTGAAAGCATAACAAAAGTAATCATCAATCTCATCATCGACATTGTATCCAAATATCAACAATCAAAATCAAGTTAAACAATAAAAATTCAACAATACATCAAAATCAAACATAAAATTGCATTGAAAAAGAAAGAATTCTTACAAAAATTTGATCAATATCAAAGAGGAATGAAGATTTCAATATCACAATCATCAAACACCAAGTTTATCTCTCTAAAATCTAAGAATAAATTCTTCAAATCCAAGAGCTTCTCTCTCTAAAATTCTAATCAAAGTCTGATTCTAATTCTAAAAACAAGGTCTTTCTCTCTCTATAAATGAAGGAATTCTATATATAGTAAAACTAACTAATGAGAAGTTAGTTAGACGTAAAAAAAACCTCAAAAGGCGGCACGGCCTCTCATCTCTAAGCGCGGCCACAACAAAATGGGTACAGAAATAGGGGAGGAGAGACGCGCGGCCGCACCGTGGGAGCAGGGGATGCAGCTTGGTGCGCTCGAAGATGCCCCAGTGTATTCCACATGATGCATGTTGGTGAGGCAGTCACTTGAAGCCCTTACGGTGGGTTCAACACCATCTTTTGATGTCCACGCGGTATGAGAGCGCGGCCTTGAAGACTTAACTCTTGCACTCCTTTGCTTTTGAGCTTCAAGAGGACGAACCAGGATGTATCTTAAGCCTTGTATACCCCGAGAGAACGCCAATGAGCTTCTCAAATATCACCAACTTTCTAAAATTAAAGAAAAGCAAACAAATAAAGAAGAAAATGCAAAATAAACTAAGAAATGAAAGAAAGTAAGAAAGCAACTAAGGAAAAAGCAAAATGGAGAAAATACAAGTAAAACTAGAGAAAATGAGATAAAAGGAGATAAAATATATGCAAAAGCAATGAAAAATAATCCTAAAAGAAGCTAAATGAGTGCCATAAATGACACTCATCAAACCCATATCCATGAATCTGGACCCACAACCAGACAAACCTAAACCCAAATCGTAAGAGGAGAGAGAATGGGGAAGATGAACCAAAATGCAGGATTAGGGTTTAAATTCTTGAGATTTCAGTTGAAGAAGATTTAGGGAGATAAATGATTTTTTGTGAAAATGATTACAATAATCAAATTCATTAAGTTGTTTAACTGGATGTCTACGTTGTTTAAGTAAGGGTAATATGGTCATTTAATTCGTAAAAAGTTACTAAAAGTGGAAAGAAAAAAAATTGTTGCACATAATAGATAGTAACCAAAAATGGTAAATGTTGCAAATAACTGTTAACTAAGGTAGTATTAGTATTGATTTTTGTCATTTTATTAATATCATTTTCGTGCCTTATTAATCACTTGACTAGTCGAAAAATGTAAGTTATGCCATCACATATCAACTGAAAAATTTAATTTATGTCAATGATAATAATTGACGTCATAATTGGGTTAATTATTCGCATAAAATTGACCGGAGGTTGTAATCAAAGTAAACACTAGCGAAGCCTACTCACACGTAATGCAATTAAATCTTATTTATTTATTTTCGAAAACACACGAGTGCATCTTGTCGCATAGTCCATATATGCGTTTGTTGCATATAGGAGGGTAAAAGTGGAATAACGCATTTAGAATGGTACTTTATTTTTATAGTTTCAGCGGTACTTTTTTGTACTATTACAGATGTATATTGTACCATTTATGTCTTAGTAGTACTATTATAACTCACAATAGTATAATATTTTGATGTACCATTTACATACTTATTTGTACTATTAGCATAATGTTTACACCACTAAAATATTTAATGGTACCATTTACCTATTAAATGGTACTTTATACTCCCACTACAACTTCAACTTTATTACTCCCTCCGTGTTTTAATAACAACTAGCCTTTTGGCACGTGCAATGCACGGGTTATTCATATAAAATTGTATTGAGAGAGAAGTGAGGAAATATCAGTAAGTCATTATATGGTATAATATGTAATCGGAAAAATTGTATTGAGAGATAAGTGAGGAAATATCAGTAAGTCATTATAGGGTATAATATGTAATCGGAAACATGATTAAAGAAATTAAAATTTTGGAACTTTAATCGAAAAAGAGGCTTAAATAGAAGCTGGAAGGGCTAAAATTAAAGAGAGAATAGGAAAAGGTTGAATTAAAGGGGAGAGATGAAGTGTGTATGAAAGATGAAGTATAAGTTTAATGAAAGAATTTAAAAAAAATGGTGTAATAAAAAATTAATAGTGTAAGATGACATGTAGCACTATGGTTAGAGAAGTGTAATACTCCCTCCGTTTTTTTTAATATGCATCACTTGGGAATGCACATAGTTTTAGGAGATAAATATAATATTGTGAGTGGGTGAATAAATTGTTATAATAAAAGTATGATGGGGACCATGAAAGAGTAAGTATGTGAGAGAGAATATATATTTTATTATTTAAGTGGGGACATAGAAGAGAGATAAATGATAAAATAATTTGAGTGGGGTTTAAAGTAAGAGAGAGAAATAATAAAAAATAGTATAACTTTACCAAATATAAAAGTGATGCATATAAAAAAAACACCCATAAAAGGAAAGTGATGCATATAAAAAAACGGAGGGAGTACGAAATAGAATAGATGGGGACATGTGTCTTTCTTAGTTTCTTGGTTATAGTTTTTAAATACTAAGTATAGATAGATATAGATTGTTAAAATATACTCCCTCCGTCCCCGAAAGAATGACCCATTTGGCCTAAATTTAGTCCCAAAAAGAATGACCCATTAGTTTTAAAATACCCACCAATTTACAACAATATTTGTGCAAAATTAGCTTCCCCGTATAAAATTTTGTTTTTCCATATTCTTTTATTACTATCTCTCTTTACTTTTTTGTAAACCCAATGTAAATTTATTTTTTCAATATACTTTAACTTCTTTTATTTAACTACTCCCTCCGTCCCCGAAAGAACGACCCATTTGGCCTAATTTTAGTTCCAAAAAGAATGACCCATTTGCATTAAAATCCCCACCAATTTGCAATAATATTTGTGCAAAATTAGTTTTCTCATATAAAATTTTGTTTCCCTATGTACTTTTATTATTTCTCTCTCTACTTTTTTACAAACCCCATGTAAATTTATCTTTTCAATATACTTTTACATCTTTTTATTTAACTTTCTTAATACCCGCAAAATTAACCCAAATGGGTCGTTCTTTCGGGGACGGAGGGAGTATATTAATACCTGCGAAGTCAACCCAAAAGTGTCGTTCTTTCGGCGACGGAGGGAGTAACACTTATTAAAACACAGAGGTAGTACTACATTGTCTACTTAAGAGTATAGCCAATGGTTGCCCATTTTGGTTGGCGGTGAAGAGAGAGAAAAATTAAAAAAAAAAGCTTAAAAAATGAAAAAAGTTGTACTTTTGGTGAGAAATGGTTCATGACCAGGTCATGGCCATGACCATTTGTTAAGTGTGGGCATTTAGTGTTATTTCGCCACTTGTCCAACAAAGAGAGGAGGTTTAGTTTTTTTTTTTTCAATTGATGAAGACTCACGTGGAAATGGAAGGAAAGGAGAATCAATGCCCACAAATTTAGAGGGCAACAAATATGAGTGTATGGGCATGAGAGTTGGACATAAATGAGGTGGAAGAGAGAGAAAGTAATAAAAAATATGATGGCCATCATTAGCTTGGGCATCCATTGGATATGCTCTACACCTTAACCCACGTAATGCAATTTGAATTTGAATGATTTAGATTTTAGAACTTACCTTTTTAAATTTCATTTTGTTTTTTTGAATTTTCAATTTTCAATTAGTTCCTTTAGCAAGCTTTTCCACTCACGCGCGTCGCACTTCCAAAACAAAAACAATAACAATAACAAAAGCAAAGCCATTCATTCCATTTATTTCCTTCATTCTGTAATCCAAACTTTCGAATTTCCACATTTCAAATTCCAATTCCAATTCATTCAGCGACGACAATGGTACGCTCTTTTCTCTAATTTCTCCATTTTTTATTATATTTTTATGTGAATCTTAGGTTTTTGCCTTTTGCGAACTTCGATTTTAATTTTTTTGTCGTAATTTGTTGTAATTGCGCTACTATTATGCATTTCTGATCTTGCTATTTGAACAACTATGTCCGATCTATTTGATTTTGTAATTTCTGATTATTGATATTCAAATTGTGGGGTTTTGTAGATTTTCGATTTTTTTGGGTTATTTTGATGTAGGTTTTTTTGGGTAATTGATTATTTTTGCGATATCTACCAATTTATCTTGTATACTGTGTTGCAATTTGCTTGATCAGAGAAATCCATGTAAATTATGGAAGATAATCTTTACCCTTTAGTATCAATTGCTGTTAGAAGTCTTGGAACCCTCGGGGGTACAATCCGTTCTTCATTTTACGAGCGTTTGAAGGTTCGGATACTGACCTTAATCTGCTAATCATTTAGCATTTCATGAATCTTGTATATGAAAGGTTGAAGAGTGTGTAATGAAGATGATTTAGAAGCTATGGTAATGTTAGTCTAGGAGTATATGTTGTCAAATGTCAAATTGGAGGTGGAATTGCATCAAGGTTGTGCATAGCATGACCATCAAGGCTTTAACTCTGTTAAGATACTCTGTAATTGGTTTATTATTCGGCTTGACTACGAGCTAGAATTGAATGTGGGGTTGTAAGATATCCTCATTAGAGGTGGAATTGCATCAAGGTTACGTGCATAGCATGACCATCAAGGCTTTAACTCTGTTAAGATACTCTGTAATTGGTTTATTATTCGGCTTGACTACGAGCTAGAATTGAATGTGGGGTTGTAAGATATCCTCATTAGAGGTGGAATTGCATCAAGGTTATGTGCATAGCATGACCATCAAGGCTTTAACTCTGTCAAGATACTCCGTAATTGGTTTATTATTCGGCTTGACTACGAGCTAGACTTGAATGTGGGGTTGTAAGATATCCTCATTAGATGGCTATTTGCCGTTTCATGATTTTCAAGTTGTAATTATATCTTGTCAATATACAGTCTTGAGACTTTAGCTCTGCTAACAATAAATTTTTTGTGTACGGCTTTCTTGTCTAGTTATGATTGGATCCCATTTACTTGTTTAATCTTGCATTTTAGCTTATGTTTAGCATTTTTAATGATTTATTGGATATTTTGGTGGCAGGATGGACATGATTCAGATGAACCTAAGCAAAATACCACTGATATGGCTGCATTTGTAAGTTGTTTGATATTTGTCTGGATTACTTGGATGTTTCATCCTTAAAGCAAATTTTTCTTTATATTCTCTTTTCATGTAATTTCATATTTTTTCAAACGCCCTTGGACATATTTATTTATTTATTATTTTTTTTAACATCCCGATTTCTCTGCAAAGAACTATTTATTTGTATATAGCTTCATATCTAGGGCTGGCTGTAATGTTATATTTCAAGGAAATTGCATCTTGATTAATCTCACAGTGTTGAATTTGATTGATTGCATTTTTCCTATTGTGAATGTAACCTTGTACCATACATGTTACTAACTGTATGTCTTTGTGCTCTCTGATAGTATTGCTCTGTAATACTTATGATTTATGTTTGTTTTTCAGGTGCAAAATCTTCTTCAGCAAATGGTAATTGGTGCTTCATTCCCCTTATAATGTATGCTAATGCCGTTGTTGACAATAATTTTTCTTTTGCAGCAAACCAGATTTCAAGCTATGTCTGAGGGCATTGTGACAAAAAATATCCTTTTTATTCATCTCTTAAGCATTACTGAGTATATAATTGAGTTTGGTACATCTGTTGAAATTTAGGCTATATATAAAGAAATATTCCTTCATGGGCACATTTCTCTTTTATTTGGGCATTATCAGTTATAATCCAAATTTTCTTTTTTACTTGCGTTATACTCTGTACAATTGATGAGGCAGTGTTGGGTGCATTTACTGAGACTTAGGCTGTGAAATATATTTATTTCCTTTCTCTGTGTGCTTTTGTTTTAGTTCGTCTAAATTTACTTGAACTTTGCTTACCAACTGAATGTTGTGCAAGACCATCATTGATTGCTTACCTTAGTTGCTAGTTTGTTTATCTGGCTAGTGTTTTTATCTTTTCATGGGGACAGAGTTTCAGAACTTTCGTCTTTCTATGACATGATTAAGATTACTGCACCATATACTTCCAGATTGTTTTATTCTTAACCACAATTGCACTAGATGAGATGGGTAATCGTATCGATGAACTAGAGCAGAGCATTAAGGATCTGAAAGAAGAAATGGGACCAGAGGAGTCTCCCTCTCCAGTGCCAGCCTCGAAATCTAAGCCTGATGATTCCAAGCCAGAGGATTCTTCTATTAACACCGAATGAAGTCAATCAAGGATTCAAGGTGCCTACTTTCCATTGGTTGTTTTTGGGATCTCACTATGTTCTGATATTAACATTTCTCAAGAAATTTGTTCTTGAATCAATGCTATGAAGTTTGAACCATGTGTGTCACTGGAGATCTATTGTGTGTAGCTTAGTTGCCTGTTTAGCAGTTACCAATATTCTTGACTTGATGTGTGAAGAGGTGATAGTTAATGATCTATTGTATCATAAGGGAGTTCGCAGCCCTTGATATCTATCCTTGATATATGAAGCAAATGTCTCGGCTACTAGCACCATCTTGTTCTTTCATCGTCTGCTATTCCTCAGTTTTGGCCTTGCCAATTTCGGTTGTTACGGAGTATCTGTCAACCATATGTGAATATGTGATGCTTATGAGTCTAATTCGATTGCTGCTGTTTGCGAGGCTGCAAACATATTGAAATTGGTTTAAAAGCTTTGCAAGTCAGTAGGAGAATAAATCATGGACTTAGATTTGCTTTTGTTTTCAGGAATTCGACAACAACTTATGATATCAGACAGTCAGTGTGGTAGTACCCTCAAAATTACGAATTGACTCTTTCATTTATACTTACTACGAAGTATAAGCTAAAGTAACCTGATAATAATAAATACTCCATATTAGTGAATATAATCTTACAATAATATATATATATATATATATATATATATATATATATATATATATATATATATATATATATATATATATATATATATTTCCTCCGTTTCGCATTATGTACAACAAAATGAGTTGCACTTTTCCCAAGAAGAAACTTGTAAGGGAGATTAATTAAGGAAAGAGCAAATAATTAAAGTCATAAAAGAACACCAACACCACCACCAAACACACCTTGCTGCCACCATAAACCACCAAACGCAGCAACCACCAAACCTGCAACCACCCATACCCACAACCACCCAAAACCACCCAGACCCACAACCACCCAAAACCGACCAAACCCACAACCACCCAAAACCATCCAGACCCACAACCACCTAAAACCGACCATACCCAGAACCACCTAGACCCACAACCACAACCACCCAGACCCACAACTGCCCAGACCAAAAACCGACTAGACTCACAACCACCCAAAACCGACCAGACCTACAACCACAGAAAAAACCGACCAGGCGCTACCACCAAACCCGCAACCTCGTAACCTCGGCCCTCCCCTCTCCCACCCAGTCAACCACCAACCACCCACCGTCTCCCCACTCACCGAAACCCACAAGTCCACAACCACCCACTCACCTTCCCCCTCCCCAAAATCACCACCAACCACCCTAAAATGTGCAGAAAAAAAACTAAAAATTTGAAAATATTACCTCCTCATTGCTAATTTGGGGTTTATTTGGTCAAATTTGACCATAAAACTCTAGATCTAGAGTTTTCATGGTTATATTAGACTATAAAAACCTCGACTTTAAGCTTTAATGGAAGAGGAAGTGGCTACAACGACTTTAATGGAGGAAGTGGCGGCAACGACTTTAATGGAGGAAGTGGCGGCAACCCGATCTAAAGGTGGTGGTGGTGGTGTGGTGGTTGTGAAAGAAGAGAGAAGTTAGTGGTGAGGGTGGCTTGAAAGAGAGGAGAGAGAAAATAGGGTGGTGGTGGAATGGTGGTTGTTAGAGAAAAGAGAGGGGAGGTGAGGGTGGCTTGAGAGAGAGGAGAGAGAAAAAGAGGTGGTGTGGGTGGTGGATGTGGTTGTGAGGGAGGAGAGAGGAGTGTTGGTGTTATTATTAAGGGTTAATTAAGTTAGGTTAATAAGTTAATGACATGTAGTTAATGTGTTAATTGGATTGAAGTAAGGGTCATTTAGTAAATTTACTCAAAAAAATTTTACTATATAAGGAAACTTTTTTTTTTGTTGCACGTAACTTGTAGCATCCCAAAATAGCAAATGTTGCACATAATACGTAACGGAGGAAGTATATATTTTCCTTGTGAAAACACATATGAGAATGCACACAAGAAACTACTTACGTAATTTAATGAAGTAAAAAATGACTTTTCTCACGGGTAATTATTAAATATAAGGATTGTTTCGGGGTTTTCTGATGTCCTGCGGGAGAGTTACAATTCCGAGACTGGAACCGGACGCCTGTACCTGCAAAACAAACGGATGCTCCGGATGATTGGAGATCCGCCTCCGACGGTCAAGTTAGTACTTGATTAAGGAGTAATTAATGCGGAAATTAAAGTGATTGGGTCTCTCTAGGTGAGAGAGTTTAATGTGTGTAATCTGCGTAATCTCCCTTAATGAGGATTAAGGGAGGTATTTATAACCTCGGGAAACGTGCCAATCTAGGTTTAGGTTAACCTTGGGCTGATTGGGCTTCCCACGGAAGTTGGGCCTAGGTGACCGGTTATCCCAGGTGTCATGGGAAGGACACGTGTCGTGTCGTAATTGGTCCATAGTGGACGGATCATTGCTTGACACGTGGCAGGCTCCTATTGGCCCATGTGACGGACACATGGCGGAACCTGATTGGTCCACTTGTCAGATGGTGATTGGTGGGGAAAAATCCCCTAATCATTTGCCCCTCACAGGTGGCACGTGACTGGTCACGTGTTACCTGTGACAGGTATCGCCCTGTAAAAGGCGACGGCCTGCTACAGGTGTCACTCGGCGAGAGGCCGAGAGATTCTCCCGCTAAAATTTTGAATTCTGGAAGTGACCCTTCGCCTTCTCACTTCGCCTATATAAAGGAGTGTTGACTTCGGTCATTTTCACACTTGAAAACTTTGTGAGAGAACATTCGGACCCCTGAACTTGCTCTGACATTTTGGACCCTTTCTTTCTACCGCCTGCTCTGACAAGCCGACTGCAAAGGATTTTCAGAACTTCATCAATCGTCACTCGTTCAGGTAATCGTCGGTTCTCTTACTCTTAATTTTCTCTTTACTTTATTCTTTTTTGAAATGGCACCACGGAAGCACACGACACGACCTAGGTTAGTGATCAGCCGGTCACCAGGGACGGCTGAATCTAGGACTAGGAGTGCCGCCTGCCCTTTTCTGGACCCATCTTTGCCCTTTATACAAAGTCCGACTGTATCTGTGTCTATGCAGAGCATGATGGCCAGAACAAAAAAGACTGCCAGGATCTCAAACTCAGACGGCTCCTCCCACAGGGTGCCGATTAGTGAAACATCTGACCAGGCGCCAGATGTGGAAGTGAAACAAAGCGGCTTGAAAGCCGGCAGTTCTAAGGGAGGAGTCAAAGTGACCCCTTCCCATTTTACAGTTGACAATTCTACATTCTCTCTTGCTCCTTTTAAAGGAGAGGAGGCGGGCCCCTCCGGGAGAGGGGAGGAGTCGTCCTCTTCGGACTCGTCAGAGGACGATTCCGAGTCTAGCTCTTCTGGCCATGCTTCTCTGGACACAGAAGAGAAAAACAGTCGCCTGCAAGAGGCGAGGCTTTCTCACGCAGTTGAGAAGGGGGACGATTGGGCGGAGCCATCCGCCTCTCACCGAGAGCAAAATACCCCCTACTACTGCACGGTACCTCGGGGCCGGATCACAGCCATGCAAGAGAAAGTGGAGAGCTTTATCGCAAACCACACAATGGCCCCCGGCTTTTTAGTGTTCGTGCCGGATCCAGAAGACACAGTCGTCTGGCCGGCTGGTACCAGTTATGATGGCGCCTTCTTTGGCTGCTACGAGGCGGCCATCAAGGCTGGGCTGCGCTTCCCACTACATCCGGCTGTTCAGCGGATCTTGGATGGGTGTGAGTTGGGGTTATGGCAGTTAGCCCCGAACTCCTGGGTCAACGTACTCGGCTATGTGGCCGGGTGCGAACTGCACGGGGTAGAGCCGAACTTCGAGGCTTTCGTCCACATGAACTACCTCAGCCGGACCCCTAAGGCAGGCGGTACCGGCTGGTATCAATTGACGAGCCATAGGGGCTACCTCATGACGAGAGGTAAAGCAAACAAATGGAAGGACTGGCGGAGCACCTTCCTTATCATTGAGAGTTCAGACACAAAGCTGAACAAGCGCTTCAACAGGTGGAACAGGAATCCGCCCCTTCTTGCAGGCGGCCGCAGCATGCCGCCTGTTCCCCCCAAGGCTAAGAAAGTGATCCTAGATAAAGGACTCTTCAAAGTAGAGTCGAAGGTGAACTCTACTTCAGGGGTACGAGAGCAAGTACCCCTGCACTGCGTCCCGAGATTCAAATGGCTCTACGACGAGTACTTTTTGGCCGCCTGTGGCCTCAGCAATCGGTGCTCAAGAGGTAGCCGGCCTGTCGAATACTCTGTTGTTCCATGCATTTCTTGTTATGAATTTTATTAACTTTGCTGTTTGTTTTTGCAGCGGACGCCATGAGCAAAATTACCGCCTCCAAGACTGCGGCGGCCATGTTGCGGGCCTCCATCATGCAACAGTCTTCAACCGACTCCCCCAACAAGGGGGCACCCTTGGTGGGCTTCGAACCTTTCACCCTCTTTTTGGAAATGTGTTTATGCATATACTGACTCTTTTCTTCTTTTTTAGACGGGCGCTCCAAGAGCTTCTTCTTCCCAACAGCCGGACCCCAAGGCCCGGAGGACGACTGTTGCGAGCTCACCTGGTTCTGCCAGGAAACATGTGGCGGCTGAGAAACAGCCGACCACTTCTTCTAAAACTCCAGCTGGGCCACCTAGAAGTATGAAATTATCCTTGTAAATTTTAGACTTGCTCCCTTCTTTACTAGGTCTAATCCGTTTGTTTATGCTTGATGCAGCCGGCCCTCAGGAGCCTGACTTGGTCGAGGTGGCCAAGTCTATGATCAAGGCCGTTCCTCCAGCTGAAAGGGAGGCGGTCAGGGGTGTCGGCACCCTTGACCTAGACGGGATTGCAGGGGTCCTTGCTGAGGTAGACTAAGCATATTTTTGAGTATTTGAATTCCAGGACGCCTGTTTTCTTTTTTGTTTGGAAACTGACGCCTGTTCCCCTTTTTACTTAGGCCCTGCTCCGAGTGAACGGCCTTCGCAAGCCGCTTGACCGGAAGAACAAAGAGGTAAAGGCTGCAAAAGCTATGGCCGCCTCTGACTGTGATAAGGCAATGTTTCAAATTGCCCAAAATGAAGTTCTGACCATTGATATTCTTTATTATCAGGCGCAGGCTACCGCCGCTATCCGGGCTCAGTTAGAGGCGGCCCAGAAGAGGAATAGCAAGCTGGGGGCGACCATCAACAACCTCAAGGCCGAGCTGAGACCTCTTCGCCAAAAGATGTCCTCATACGAAACCTTGGAGAAATCCTTGGCGAGCGTAAAGGTACGCCTGGTGACCCAGGAGAAG